ATCTGACCACATGTATATGCTTGTCTTATTACTTCGAAATAGAGTTGCAAAAATTCGACAGGAGGGCGGGATTGTATGGCTTATTTCAAAATGAGGTAAAAAAGGTTGGACTTTGAATAAATGGGTCATAATGGTCTGCATCTCTTTAAACAAAAATATTAGGTTAAATTGGGCTGATGAGTTTTAATAAATCCATTTGATTTGGTAAACAAGTGAGATACATTTGCATGTGTCTTAATCAGAAAACTTTTTATTACGATGATGATGTTGGTAGTAATAATTATGAGAAATAAATGTTAATTAATTGATGTTATGTCTATATTCAAATCTATGTTATTTAAATACTTTATTCTAATACATGTGATGGTTGTATTTTTTATTATTATTCAAAATTATAATAATGTTTTGCTTTTTCATAAGTAAATAGATTAATTGTGATTTTAGTTGATTTTCTGATTCCATAAGAAAAATTATGCTTTTGGTCGATTAAACAGACATTACCTACTTTATAAATGGTTATATATAACAAATTGATTTTTAGATAATTAAACTGCTTTGACTGGCTAGTTAAATGAGGTAAATGTGCTTAATAAGTTAGGTTGGTTTGAGTTTGAGAACCATGGCATGATTATTGGACAAGTCACGTTTGATTTAAGAGTGTTAGTTGCTAATACCTTATGTTGATGTGGCCGATCCCATTTAGACATAGATGATGTTAATTGCTAAGACTGGTTGAAATCTGCTGGTTATAGGTTCTTGTGGCTGGATGCATTTAATCTAAAGCTTATATTTGAATTCTCCGTCTCCGTCTCTGTCTCTGTTCCTCTTCTGTTTCTGTTTTTGTCTCTGTCTCTGTCTCTCTTGCTAACTTGAGATATAGAAAACAAACATTTTACATAATAAGCAATAACTTCTTTACAGTCTGAAGACCCTTAACAAAGATTGGCTGATAATTGAACTTGGATCCAGTCTTCTGAAACAGAGGCCTCACATCCTTTTGAACTTGGATCTTACTGGGATAAGGATGCTTGAAGCCAAAGCCTTAATTTTCATCTAAGAGGAGAAAGGAACTAAATTTGACTTCTGAAGCTTTCTTTCATCACTACCTATGGATATTTCTTTGTAGATCTATGGCAGGACTTGGACTAATACACTGTAATTCCAAGTTGTAATAAAAGTATAATTTCTTTGGTATTCTTCTCTCATATGATGCATAATGTCCCTTGAAATTATCAAAGTAACTAGCAGAAGCATGAAGAAAAGGTGTGGTGGATCCTACATAGCCAAACATCTTATGTATTAAGTTCCATTCTTGGCATTGAATTGTTTACGGTCCAGATCAAGCATATCAATATATATTTGCATATGATTTTAAGTCACTTTTGGTTCTTTATTCTTGTAGGAACTCTTGCAGAGAAAGCCCTGCTTGCTGTGTTACCTCCTGAAGATGATTTTCCATATACTGTCCGTATCAATTCAGAAGTCATGGCCTCTGATGGTTCAACATCAATGGCAACTGTTTGTGGAGGTACCCTACTTGGCCTGATACTGTAAGCCGAAACTTATGAAATTGATAAGTTTGTTATCTGCTTAAGGAAATTGGGCTTTCTTATAGCATTGAGATTTTGTGCCTTATATTAGATGCCATACTCTATGATTTAAAATTCAATCGTGTCGATGGTATATGATTTAGGATGTGAATTACAAATGGAACACATAGCATGACAATTCTTTTTATAGGCAGTATGGCTTTGATGGATGCTGGCATTCCATTACGAGAACATGTAGCAGGTGTTTCAGTGGGTCTTGTTAGTGATATTGATCCATCAACTGGTGAAATTAAAGACTATCGTATACTAACAGACATTTTGGTGAGCATTTGGCTTGGCTTTCTTTTAATTATTGCCTGCAGTTGACTGGCAGCTATTATCTTATGAATTTAGATGGAGTCCTTAAAGTTGTTACAAGCTTTCTCTATGATCTAAGTATGCACTTACTTTTTCTGGCCATTCAGTCTGAACATCTTTTTTATAATTGGTAGTCTTAGCCTCTCTATCCAGTTTTTGAAATATACCTGGTTGTCTTTGATTTGTAAGTATTAGTAAATTTTGTTGAAGCATTGATTGTATGTTGCATATATCTAGGGCTTGGAAGACCACTTGGGAGATATGGACTTCAAAATTGCTGGTACACGAAATGGAATCACGGCAATTCAGTTGGATATAAAACCTGCTGGGATTCCTTTAAACATAATCTGTGAGTGTTTAGAACCCGCTTTTAAAGGCCGCCTTCAAATTCTTGACCACATGGAACGAGAGATTAGTGCACCACGCATTCAAGATGATAGAAATTCCCCGCGGTTAGGTATCTCCTCATCTATTGTAGTTATCATATTAAACCTATTTGCTTTCCCCCTCCCCAAGGTGACAAATCTTTTCTGATTAACTGAAGAATTATGATCTTCAATGCAGTTACCTTGAAGTACAGCAATGATGCTATTCGCCGACTGATTGGGCCGATGGGTGCTCTCAAAAGGAAAATTGAAGAGCAAACAGGTTTCAAACTTTAAAATTCCCTAACATATAGAAATCGGAAAAACTTGTTTTGTGGATGGGACACAACTATCTGGCATATGGTTGTCTATCTGTTTGTTTTTTGTTTTGGAATATGCTAGGCTCTCTAGCTATATGCTTGAAATGCCAGTTTCATGGTTTACGATATTCTAGGTTAATTCCACTATCTTTTTTTTGGGTGGTTTGGAAGGAAAGAAACTTGAGGGCTTTTGAGGGCATTGACAAAAATTTTGTTAGTATTAGGGATACTTGGCTCCATACTTTTGGTTATATGATATTGGGTCATGATGTTCGGGAGATAGATGATTTTGGGGATGTCTTTAACTATTTGATTGGCATGTAATTATTGTATACAGGTGTACTGCTTTGGTACAATGTTAATAATACTTTCTATCTTTTATTTGAAAAAAGAAGTTGCGATATTCTAAATTTATTTTGGTGATTCATTTGCTTATAAGAGGC